AAAAGGGGGCTGTTGGAAGAGATCTGATTGATTTAGAGTTAATGGGTATTAAACAGAGTCTAGAACTTAATTTTAACCCAAAACTTATAGCCACAAGGTTATTTGCCTCAACTTCTGTTCTATACTCTTTATTTTTTTCTTATCTTATCCAATGCGAAAATATACTCACATATTAAAAATCTCAACAAGGGCGTGAGACTGGAACGAGAGGCACCGGTGGATCTTGTCACTTGAAATATGTTTCTAAGTCCTTGCTCACATGAACAACCTGTGAAGTGAAAAGAGGGTGGTTGTGGTCTATCTACCACAATCTTTAATGATGCCAAGATCCAGAGGCCTATCTGTAAATATCAAACTTAAAGATACTAAGTAGCGAATATGATAGTCCACAGGGTCTATGTGCAACTAGCCCCTATTATATTTGGTGAATACTTTAATTAGTGGAGCGACTAGGACTGATGTCCCTGCATAAGCTATGAGTTCATTAAAGTAGGCAATCTCTAAGATTATCCTCTTGACTGGTGTGTCGTTTAATTCTAGTAGTGTCATGAGTGGTATACTATTAAATATTGTACACATGTAGTCCATATTCAGTCCCATATCGATTAGGATACTAGCACAATTCGTATTTACATTATATATAAACACTACAATCACTACCACATATTTGCTCTAACGTAACAGTTCTAACGCAACGCTTATGACCGTTGCGCTAGGTGTATATGGGGACGGTTTTGCAACGCTTTTAACCGCGACCAAAGACTTAAGACAACGGTTTACAAAAACCGCTTCGCTAGGCCCAATATGCTTTGGGCGGATTTTATAGGCTGGTTTGGGCTTAACTAAATATGTTATCGCTTAAACTAAATCTCCTTCCCTCCCTCTCTCTCAAATCGTCACCCATTTCTAAAATCTCTACCCCCTTTCTAATATCCGCTCCCAAAAGATCGCCATGGCCGAAATCATCTCTAGTTGTCGATCTCATCGCTGAGCTCGTCGCCAATCTCTTCGCCGTTTTCCGATCTCATCTTCTCCGATCTCAACTCTGATTTCGTCGTCGAGCTCGTAGCTAATCTCGTCGTCGAGCTGCTGGTCTCGTCTCCGATCTCATCTTCGATATCGTCTTCGAGCTCGAAGCTAATCCCCAATCTGGTCTCCAATCTTGTTCGTGTGTTCTTCCTCATCGGTCTCATCGCTATCACTCTCCTTTCGACGCCCTTTCTTCCTCTGATAAAAATCCCCGCTTCTTTTGCCCTAACCCTTAAAAAAACTCTAATCACTGATTCAGCTCAAAATTATAAATTAATTAATTAAAAAAACTACGAAATCCTTCTTCTTCAATCCAATCGATGAAGAAGTACGGAATCCAACTTCGGATTCCTCCGGGGCACCAGAAGCAGAAGTTGTCGAAGCCCCCCTGTTGCTCCTCCTCCGGCCTTCGCTTTCAAAGACGACGATGAAGACGACGTTGAGAGGGAGATCTCTCGCCAAGCGGCCAAGACCAGAGCTCTTCAAAAGGTAATTTACTGGTGGGGGGTGGGGGGGGTTGTTACCAGCTTTAGAGTAAACCAAATGAATAGATCTTATTTGTTTCTTATGCTAGAAGTTTGATCCAAGCATCATACTAGAGCTAACTAAAGAGAACTTACTGGTAATTACAATAAGCATGCAGAAGCTACATGGGAATTACGTAGCAAAAAAATGCAATTTTCGAATGAAATAACAACCAATCTTCAACTACATTTTTGCAGGATGGCAAACGAAAAAGACAAACAATGTCATACTATACACGCTGCCTTTAAACAAATTTGTATCTAACATATGTTACAGACAAAATTTATGAACACCATAAGAATAAAAACCATACCTCTTTATATGGCATCATTATCATCAATTCCCAGGTTGCATTTTAGAATGTTGGAGGAATAGAAGTTTTCTGAGACCATCTCGTCCACAAAAATATTTCTAAGACAACTCCCGTAAGTAAAAGAACAGAAAGGTTGATGCCATAACCAATTTTCCAAGAAGTTCCTGCAGCGCCAACATGGATCCCGAGGTAAATGTTGACTACTGAGAGTAAGAGAGTGAGTCTCCCAACTCCATGATGGTACCAATTCCAGAGTCTACGGAATTTTGAATCAGGTGACATGCATACATGTTTTCTGATAGAATTGCTGTTTCATGTTCTGCGCTAATTGCTGTTTTCTGATAGAGATGAAAATAAAGAAGAATCAAGAGGTGGAGATCAAGATGAAACAGACAGTGGAAATCAAGATGAATCAGATTGGGATTGGATGGAGGATACTCCTTAATTTGTCTTCAATACTTTGTACTTGTGTCAAGATTGGAATTAGATGTGTTGCTTATTTTTGAACTATGCAGGTGTTCTCATTGTGCTTGGGTTGGGAACTATGATGTTGTGAAAGCAAGATAAACAATGACAATTAATTTGTGATTCATCATAATGTAGGTCATGTTTACATTGCTTGTTTATATTCATTAGTAAATGTACAGATTGTTTATGTACTCTGGTAATGCCTTACTATCTATTTCTATGCAGATACCCTAGTACGCCAGGCAGCAATGGTTGTCAAGTGTATGCTGCTGATGTACTACAAGAACAGTAGGGGCAGGAACTATCGTAAGCAGGTAATTCGCTGTTCTACATTTCTATATTTGTCTAAGTGTCACCTACATCAGAAATAAGGCAATATTAAATCTTAGTAAGTGCTAAATATGATATAATGGAGCAGATAACCTTGAGGATTTCTGCTTGTTCATAAACCTAATGAGGGAACTAGTGCCTTTTTTAATTATTTATTGTATTCATTTTAATAGGTCCTTGACTGCACATATTTTTCTTCGAAAACTTTCTACTGCAAATTTAGGTAGTCAAAATAGTATACTAAATTTACATTCCATTATCAGTAGTATCTATAAAAGTTTGTAACTGGTGGAAATGGTTAGACATAACTTTTGTGTCTGGGCATGTTAGAAGATCTATTTTTTGGTAGATAAGTTTATGCATTCTCATTTCGCTGATGAAACATATTCATTCTTCAAGAGGAAATAAACACCAACCTAAGTTAAAGTTTCTACATGCTTCATTTTCGTACGAGTGTGTATTTATGGTGCTTCCTTGTGTATTCAGTAACTTTAATTCCTTGAGCTGCCTTCATTTGATTAAGGATTTTTCTCATTTGCAAGGACTTCTTGCTTTCCAACAAAAGTTGTCAAGTGACATAATTATGTGGTATATCCAGTTAGGACTTCGATTTGCATGTTCCCATATTATCATATTTATTTTAAATTTCATATTCATTGAAAAACTTCAATAGATTTTCTTTTGAAGTTATTAATGTTGCATTTAAATAATACCTACGTTGCACTGATTTTGTCATATTTGATTAAGGATTTTTCTTCTCTTTGAACTGATTTTGTCAATTCAACGATTTTGGTAATATACTAGCAACAACTACAAAGTT